TGTGTGTGTGTGTGTATATATATATATATATATATATATATATATATATTCTATTTGTGGATGGACTTGTCCAGTTAATATCCGGTTCTATAGTTGAACTCTGTGACTGTTGCCAATCCATTTCACAAGGAAATAAACTATACTGAATGTCTGTAATAATCATTGTGAAGATTGTGGATAGTTTTGAGTTATGATGCAGTTATTTTTTATTTGAAGGTATATGATGATAGAACACAAGAGAGGATATAATAGAAATAAGCTGGAGAAATTGGTTGAAACGTAGGGTAAGTGATGGCTTTTCTGTGCATTGGGCTTCAATTTATTGGCTATTTTATAGATATTCATACACCGCCAGTGAGTGGCACTTGGCACTTCCTACTTTTTTTTGCTTAATTGAGGAAGGTCCCATGGCCGTTGCAGCTACTGATTATTATTTTCCATAAATAACTTTCAACATACTATAGTACATACCAAATTTTGCTGCTATGATTAATGTACATTTTTGTAGATATATGTAGGCCAATTTTAACAATGCTGAACGTATGTGACTGTTATAGGTTATGAACGTGAGAAACACAGTAAAATTAAAGCAGACAATTGATTACAAAAGTTCATGTAGAAGGCTAGACATAGAACTAGACAAACTCATCAGCTGAAGGAATTTCAGGACAATATTGCACAACATCGGATATCAGAGGCCAAAGAAAGCTATTCGGATTCGCTGGAGGTTGGTTTATCTATTGTAAGTTCAATTAGTAGCAAACATGAATGGTTTGATTTGATGATTTCTTGGTAAATATGTACTGATACGCGCTTCCTTTTCTCAGAAGGAAAGATGAAATATCAGAAAGACTATAATAAGGAATCAATTAAGAAGCTAGAAGAGAAGGTGATGGAGAATAAGAAAAAGTATGAGGAATTTTGTATGACATCTACTGCAGAGGTAGTATTTTTTGTTAAACCATATGTTGTCTCATGCTAATATAACAACAAAACATCCCTCACAACAAATTATAACATCAATTCATTGTGAAGAATTCAGGAGCAACTCATCTCAATTGTCGGTCCCGTTTATCTTCCCTGTTATTTTCTGGCTCAGTTACTTAAGTTATTTCGACTATATCCTATTTTGCTCGAACATAGTCAACAAAGAATTCTGAGGATAAAAATTAGATTACAATATGATAATCGTAAGTCAATTGTCAGAGTAAAACATTTCATGCTCACAAGTGAATTATCATTTCTTAGATGGCCATTGTGCCTGTTGAGGAAGTAATCATTTTGAAAAATTTACTTCAGAAAGAGACTCTTATCAGAAATGCTACCGAAGGGGAGCTAAATCGTCTGAAAACTCAAATGAAAGAACTGAAAGATCGGGAGGTATGTTTTTTTGCCCTTTGTACTTTTCACTTTGCATATGTGCCTTTTTATGTGACTTCTGAATTAGTTTTACACGTGTATGTATGTCTCCTGAAATAGGCATCAAGAGAATCACATATCTTAAAACTTCGTAAGATGTTGGAAGATGAGGCACAGCAGAAGGAGAATCTCAAAAGAGAAATAACCAGATTGCAAAGTCAACTGCTGCAATTAGGTTTTAATGTTGGAAAAGTAAGCTATATCTGAAGTGCACGAATATCATATAGTAGTTAATTGGCTATATTTTATGTTTTCTTATAAAAGGGAAATAAGACTTTTATGTTATTAGTTTTGATTGAAGTAGAGTGATTAAAGATTTATAAAACTTCTAGGATTTAAACGGTGATTTTTGTACTTGACTGTAAAAGCTTAAAAGGGTATCATCATTACTATTCAGTGTCTAGGCATATTATATTTTGCAATCCTATCTACGAATATTATGATCATTAGGTTTTCTTCTCCTTTATGAAGACATGAAGGTTCAAATAGTTTCCCTAGACTGCACAAAACCTTCAATACTTGTATCATTAGTTAATCTCTTAATCGTTTTTAAGACATGTGACGACCTGTACTCATCGTCATGTTTCTGCAAATTCTTCATGGGTTTCTGGTGCATTTAGAGAAAATAAGCCATAAGTTTACTTAACCTTGTAATTATCTACTGAAAACACTTTTGAATGCAACTTGATCTTGCAGAAAACACAAAAAATTCGTCGAGTTCGATCTGAGAAAGTTGCTGGTGGTTTAGATTATTCTCCCTCTTTCCTGGTTAAACATCAACAGCAAGCTTCAGGAAATGGAGAGGAGGCCTCAGCTGCCAAGCTCTTTGAACAAGGCAGTAATTATTTATTAGCTAGTTTTCGTTGCATATCTTGCATGTTGAAAACTAGACATTTTATGTTGATAAATATTACTTTCAATTTAGAAGATATTTTGAGCTGATAAAGTCGATATTTTAGCAGGTGGATTGCTGAAGATTCTGTCGTTTCTTGAACCAGAAGATGCTGATGCACAAATCCATGCCGTGAAAATAATAGCTAATTTAGCTTGTGAAGGTTTCAGTGTTGCCAACTTAAGTTTATAAACCTTTTAATTATATATAAAATAGCAGTCTAACATAAGTCTAGGATTGCGTTTGACTTCTGCATTATATGATCTGGGGTCAATGAATTTGTGAAAATGAATAAATTTCTGTTAGATGAATTTGAATATAATTGTCCAATAATGACTACTCATAAACCTATGATTAAGATTTTCGCAACAAATATTTAATCTCTTGTTGGAGACCGGTTAGAAAGGTATACACCAGCCACGGTTTTGCCCAAAATTCCTCTGGTAATCTCTTGCTTTTAAGCATGCTCCTGGCAAAACATGCTACACATAATTACAGAAATTATGCCTTTTAGGCGTAAAATCAAGTTTATATTTCAGCTAACATAATTTGAAAGTCTATTTGTTGCTTTGTTGAAATTTATATCATAAGAAATTAGCCTTAACATCTATCAAACCTGATGTTGCAGAAAGAAACCAGAAGAAGATTGTAGAAGTAGGTGGACTTACGCCCTTGCTTTCACTCCTTAAGAACTCAAAAGATGAAGCCACACATAGAGTTGCAGCAAGCGCCATTGCCAATTTGGCAATGAATGGTATATTTCCACAGCCTTTTCTTTTCTGCTAGAAACTTAAAATAAATATTTACTTCCAATTATTTATCTCTCTTTTGGTTCCTGGTATGTTAACCTTATTTGGTGTCTGAACAGAAACCAACCAAGATCTCATTGCCGCTCAAGGAGGCATTAATTTACTGTCAATGGTAGCAGCCAATGCTGAAGATCCTCAGACCCTTCGAATGGTTGCTGGAGCATTTGCTAATCTTTTTGGAAATGGTAAACTTTTGATATTATCTCATTTTTAAGGTTAGCATGTTTTTCAATCTCATGATCAGACTCATTTGCCTTTTAGTTGAAATGTAGGAGGGATGCATAAAAATTTATGGATGCTCTTATTTATGTTTACCAGATGATATAGCACAAGAAAGTTTCTCAGTATCATTCTTGTGAGTAGACATTTGAATAAATCCTCTCAAAAATAAAAATAAAAATAAGAACATTTCAATATTTTACAAAGATTCTAGGTTTAAATCTTGTAGTAGGAACCAAAAAAATAGACTCTTTTAGTGTTTAAAAACAATTATTATGGTGAAAGACTAAATTTTAAACATATTTATTCTAATTTATTGGTCTTTTACTATTAAAATTCTGTTTTTT